ATCCCCGCCTCCCAATTTAACAATGATCTATGCTCGTGCACAACACCAATACACCACACTAGATTCGTTCTCTGATCCTAATCCTATGATTGGGTGGACAACATGTCATTTCATATTGCAAAAGCTTTGATAGGTTGGAGCACGTCCTCCGGAAGTTGTCATAATTACTGAATAAGTATTGGGAAGGGGGTGAGAACCATGAGCTTCCTAGGTTTTGTATTGAAGTCAATGTACCCAGAGGAGGACGGAAGCTAGCTGTCCTCCGGCTACACCATGGTGCTACCCTACAGAGTGCTGTTGAGGCTACTGTAGACCATTGCAAAACAGTGTGTTTTAATCAGGTATTTGGTGACGTGAATATATGTAGTATAGATTTATCTAAAAAGGATAACTTTTGTAATGTTTTTATTTTCTTTATTTTTTATTCACTGGTTCATGGTCCTCCCCTTCCTCCTCTGAGGAGCCTCCACTGATCCACACCAACGCCTCTGTAATGGGAAGCTATGCTGTGTGGATCATCTTTATTGGAGTATTAACTTGTAATGTTGTACTGAAGCAGGTGTGACTGTGTTATTGATGTGAGTGAACTGAGTCACGAGTGAGATTGTGTGTGTGTTGATAGAACAGGATATAATGTTCAACTGGCTGAGAGAACAGGATATAATGTTCAACTGGCTGATAGAACAGGATATGATGTTTAACTGGCTGATAGAACAGGATATGATGTTCAACTGGCTGATAGAACAGGATATGATGTATAACTGGCTGATAGAACAGGATATGATGTTTAACTGGCTGATAGAACAGGATATGATGTTTAACTGGCTGATAGAACAGGATATGATGTCATTTCCACACCCTCTTCTCCCTTTCCATTCTTTCTTTGTGGTCTATTTACTCCATCTCTCTTTCTGTCTGACGCAGCATTGGTTGACCGAGCTAGAGATCTTTGCCATGATCTTTGCAGCAGCGGTTCACGACTACGAACACACTGGAACCACCAACACCTTCCACATCCAGACCAGGTAATAGATTACTGATCTAATAGATCCAGACCAGGTAATAGATTACTTATCTAACAGATCCAGACCAGGTAATAGATGACTGATCTAACAGATCCAGACCAGGTAATAGATTACTGATCTAACTGATCCAGACCAGGTAAATAGATTACTGATCTAACTGATCCAGACCAGGTAATAGTATGACTGATCTAACAGATCCAGACCAGGTAATAGATGACTGATCTAACAGATCCAGACCAGGTAATAGATTACTGATCTAACAGATCCAGACCAGGTAATAGATGACTGATCTAAACAGATCCAGACCAAGTAATAGATTACTGATCTACTGATCCAGACCAGGTAATAGATGACTGATCTAACAGATCCAGACCAGGTAATAGATGACTGATCTAACAGATCCAGACCAGGTAATAGATGACTGATCTAACAGATCCAGACCAGGTAATAGATGACTGATCTAACAGATCCAGACCAGGTAATAGATGACTGATCTAACAGATCCAGACCAGGTAATAGATGACTGATCTAACAGATCCAGACCAGGTAATAGATGACTGATCTAACAGATCCAGACCAGGTAATAGATGACTGATCTAACAGATCCAGACCAGGTAATAGATTGACTGATCTAACAGATCCAGACCAGGTAATAGATGACTGATCTAACAGATCCAGACCAGGTAATAGATGACTGATCTAACAGATCCCAGACCAGGTAATAGATTACTGATCTAACAGATCCAGACCAGGTAATAGATGACTGATCTAACAGATCCAGACCAGTAATATATGACTGATCTATAACAGATCCAGACCAGGTAATAGATTACTGATCTAACTGATCCATTCCCAGGTCTGAATCAGTCCCCTGATTAGAAGGAGAGGATGAAATCCACACTGAGTTAAACAGAAAACTAATTCAGTGTATCTACAATGGGAAAAAATATGTTTAGCTGAAACTATGAGCATGTCTCAGATCAGACACAGCGATCCTGTACAATGACCGGTCAGTCTTAGAGAGCCATCATTCAGCGCAGCATAACCGCCTCCTACAGGACGATGTGAGATCAACATACTATGCAACCTGTCTAACGACGACTGGAGGTGAGACTTCATAAATTGTAATAAACATGTCATAGGAGTAATAGGAGTGTAATAACATTGTCATAGGAGTAATCGGAGTGGTAATAACATGTCATAGGAGTAATAGGAGTGTAATAACATGTCATAGGAGTAATAGGAGTGTAATAACATGTCATAGGAGTAATAGGAGTGTAATAACATGTCATAGGAGTAATAGGAGTGTAATAACATGTCATAGGAGTAATAGGAGTGTAATAACATGTCATAGGAGTAATAGGAGTGTAATAACATGTTTCAAGTTTTATTAGTTGTAAAGGATATTCTTGGTATACATCGTCCAATGAAACGCTTACTTGCAGGTTCCTTCTCGACAATGTCAAATGTCTCCCCAGAGAGCTGAGGGGCCTAGTAGTAAGATGGTTCTGACAAACAGACATGTCCTGTTCCTCTCTCTAACCCTAACCTACCTGTGCTGGTCTGTCTGTCTGTCGTCGTCTGTCCTGTCTGTCTGTCTGTCTGGTTCTGTCTGTCTGTTCTGTCTGTCTGTCTGTCTGTCTGTCTGTCTGTCTGTCTGTCTGTTCTGTCTGTCTGTCTGTCTGTCTGTCTGTCTGTCTGTCTGTCTGTAGAGAGCTGAGGGGCCTAGTAGTTACAGGATGGTTTCTGGCAAACAGACATGTCCTGTTCACTTCCAGCAGGTCAACATATGAAGAACTTCCTCCAGCAACCAGAGGGGTGAGACTTAAAAAACAGCCTCCCGCTCCTCCCCCGTTCCTGTTCTCTCCTCCTCCCCCCCCGTTCCTGTTCTCTCCTCCTCCCCCGTTCCTGTTCTCCTCTCCTCCTCCCCCGTTCCTGTTCTCCCACGCCTCCTCCCCCGTTCCTGTTTCTCTCCTCCCCCGTTTTCCTGTTCTCTCCTCCTCCCCCGTTCCTGTTCTCTCTGTCCACCACTGTCCTGATCCAACCAGAGGGGTGAGACTTAACAGCCCTCCCGCTCCTCTATAACTCTATATCTCCTCCCCCGTTCCTGTTCTCTCTGTCGCCACTGTCCTGATCCAACCAGAGGGGTGAGACTTAACAGCCTCCCGCTCCTCTATAACTCTATATCTCCTCCCCCGTTCCTGTTCTCTCTGTCACCACTGTCCTGATCCTCCATTAGTTCCTGTTCTCTCCTCTGTCACCACTGTCCTGATCCTCCATTAGTTCCTGTTCTCTCCTCTGTCACCACTGTCCTGATCCTCCATTAGTTCCTGTTCTCTCCTCTGTCACCACTGTCCTGATCCTCCATTAGTTCCTGTTCTCTCCTCTGTCACCACTGTCCTGATCCTCCATTAGTTCTTGTAACCTTCAGTAGTGACTAGCGATCAGTCAACATCCTGTGTGTTGAGCTGCTGTATGAATACTGTGTCTGAGTGGGTCTCTAGCTGCCGTTGCCACGAGAACAAAGAGAGACATTGATGGAACTTATTCACCTTGAACACAGACACAGACACTCACGGAAACACACTCCACAGTAAAAAGTAATTATCTGAACCTCTCTTAATGTGTGTGTGAGATCCAGGGTTGTGATTTGTCCCATATCTGTGATGTGGAAAGAAACATGCTGCCTTAGTGCCAACCACTGCTGCCCTGGGCAGGGTGCTGCAATGAGACAGACAGACAGACAGACAGGGCAGACAGACAGACAGACAGACAGACGGATAGAGAGACGGGGGAAAAGAGGAGAGAGAGAGAGAGAGAGAGAGAGAGAGAAAAGGGGAGGAGAGGAGAGAGCGAGAGAGAGAGTGGTAAAATTCAAAAAAATTCCCAATCAGCAGAGTTCAGCAATAACAGTCCAAGTCGTGTCGGTGCAGCAGGCTGGCGGAACTCTGACCTTTTCATTGGGTTACACCACATACTGACTGACTGCTGTGATTCACGGATTACCCCTTCTATCTCTCTGTTCTTCCTACTCCAGGATTGATAAACCCAAAGCCCTGTATATGCTGCTAACTATCTAAACCGTGTGTGTGGTGTGTTGGTGTGTGTGTGTGTGCCCACCAGGATTGATAAACCCAAAGCCCTCTCTCTGCTGCTTCATACAGCTGATATCAGCCACCCAGCTAAGAAATGGGACCTGCACCACCGCTGGACAGCATCACTTCTGGAGGAGTTCTTCAGACAGTAACCTCTGACCTCTAACCCCTAACCCTTGACCTCTAACCCTACACCACCGCTGGACAGCATCACTTCTGGGAGGAGTTCTTCAGACAGGTAACCTCTGACCTCTAAGCCCTAACCCTTGACCCTCTAACCCTACACCACCGCTGGACAGCATCACTTCTGGAGGAGTTCTTCAGACAGGTAACCTCTGACCTCTAGCCCTAACCCTTGACCTCTAACCCTACACCACCGCTGGACAGCATCACTTCTGGAGGAGTTCTTCAGACAGGTAACCTCTGACCTCTAACCCCTAACCCTTGACCTCTACCCTACACCACCGCTGGAACAGCATCACTTCTGGAGGAGTTCTTCAGACGGGAACCTCTGACCTCTAAGCCCTAACCCTGACCTCTAACCTACACCACCGCTGGACAGCATCACTTCTGGATGAGTTCTTCAGACAGGTAACCTCTGACCTCTAAGCCCTAACCCTTGACCTCTAACCCTACACCACGCTGGACAGCTCACTTCTGGAGGAGTTCTTCAGACAGGTAACCTCTGACCTCTAAGCCCTAACCCTTGACCTCTAACCCTACACACCACCGCTGGACCAGCATCACTTCTGGCGGAGTTCTTCAGACAGGTAACCCCTGACCTCTAAGCCCTGAACCCTTGACCTCTACCCTACACCACCGCTGGACAGCATCACTCTGGAGGAGTGTCTTCAGGGGGGACAGTAACCTCTGACCCCCTAACCCCTAAACCCTTGACCTCTAACCCTACACCACCGCTGGACAGCATCATTCTGGAGGAGTTCTTCAGACAGGTAACCTCTGACCTCTAACCCCTAACCCTTGACCTCTAAACCTACACCCCGCTGGACAGCATCACTTCTGAGGAGTTCTTCAGACAGGTAACCTCTGACCCCTAACCCCTAACCCTGACCTCTAACCCTACACCACCGCTGGACAGCATCACTTCTGGAGGAGTTCTTCAGACAGGTTAACCTCTGACCTCAGCAGTGGAGTCCTGTGCTTCCAACATCATGGCAGTGCTGTGTTGACAGGATTTATAGGGTTCGGTTTATTATGGTGTGTTACAGGATTTATAGGTTCTGGTTTATTATGGTGTGTTGACAGATTTATAGGGTTCGGTTTTTATGGTGTGTTGACAGATTATAGGTTCGGTTATTATGTGTTGACAGGATTTATAGGGTTCTGGTTTATTATGGTGTGTTGACAGGATTTATAGGGTTCTGGTTTATTATGGTGTGTTGACAGGATTATAGGGTTCTGGTTTATTATGGTGTGTTGACAGGATTTATAGGGTTCTGGTTTATTATGGTGTGTTGACAGGATTTATAGGGTTCTGGTTTATTATGGTGTGTTGAACAGGATTTATAGGGTTCTGGTTATTATGGTGTGTGTTGACAGGATTTATAGGGTTTGGTTTATTATGGTTGTTGGACAGGGATTTATAGGGTTCGTTCTGGTTTTATTATGGTGTGTTGACAGGATTTATAGGGTTTTCTGGTTTTATTATGTGTGTTGACAGGATTTTAGGTTCTGGTTATTATGGTGTGTTGACGGATATTGGTTCTTGGTTTTTATGGTGTGTTGACGGATTATGGTTCTGGTTTATATGGTGTGGACAGGATTTATGTTTGGTTTATTATGTGTTGACTGATAGGGTTCTGGTTTATTTGGTGTGTGACGTTATAGGGTTCTTGGGGTTAATTTTGACGTAACACCTCCCGCTCCATCCCGCTCCTCTATAACTCTATCTATCCCCCTTCCTGTCTCTCTGGCGCCACTGTCCTGATCCAACCAAGGGGTGAGACTTAACAGCCTTCCCTCCCGCTCCTCTATACTCTATATCTCCTCCCCGTTCCTGTTCTCTCTCTCTGTCCACACTGTCTGATCTCCATTAGTTCCTGTTCTCCCTCCTCTGTCACCACTGTCCTGATCCTCCATTAGTTTGTCCTGTTCTCTCCTCTGTCACCACTAGTCCTGATCCTCCCATTAGTCCTGTTCTCCTCCTCTGTCACACTGTCCTGATCCTCCAGTAGTTCCTGTTCTCCATCCCTCTGTCACCACCACTGTCCTTGATCTCCCATTAGTTTTATTGTAACCTTCAGTAGTGACTAGCGATCATTCAACATCCTTGTGTTTGATCTGCCTGTATGAATACTGTGTCCTGGTGGTCTCTAGCTGACGTTGCCACAGAACAAAGAGAAGACTTGATGGAACAGGATTCACCTTGAACAAGACCAGACACTCACTGAACACCTCCGACAGTAAAAAAGTAATATCTTAACCTAACTCTAAATGTGGTGTGGAGATCCGGGTTTTGATTTGTCCACCATATCTTTGTGTAGAATGAAACATTCTGCCTTGTGCCAACCACTGCTGCCCTGGCAGGTCATTGCATGAAACAGACAAAGCAACGACAGACAACAGACAGACAGACAGACGGGATAGAGAGACAGATAGAAGAGAGAGAGAGATGAGAAGAGAGAGGAGAAGAGAGAGAGAGAGAGAGAGGAGAGATATAGTGGATGAATATTCCAAAGATTACCCAATCAGCAGAGTTCAGCATACGTCCAATCGTGTCGGTTCAAGCAGGCCTGGCTGACTCTGACCTTGTCGATTGTTACAACCACATACTGACTGACTGTGTGATTTCACGGATTTACGCCTTCTATCCGCTTCTCCTACCCAGTATTGATAACCCAAAGCCCTGTAGATGCGTGCTAACTTCTAACCGGGGGGGGGGTGGGGGTTGTGTGTGTGTGTGTGGTGTGTGGGCCCACCAGGATTGATAAACCCAAAGCCCTCTCAATCTGGCGGCGTCAGACAGCTGAGATCAATACCACCCAGCTAAG